TAATCAATTCGAGGACACATGATGAAAAATTTAGAGTCAGTACATCAAAAAGTACTGTATTACTGAGAGCTAATAAGCAACACGCTATATTTGCGCCACGTTGCTGAAGAAATTGCCTGCTGCAACTATTTACTTCTCATATGAGGGCGAAAGCAATCTCTCAAAATACTTTAACCCTGATGCCAATTTCCTACTTTCCTAGTAAAACTTTTCATTCCACCAGCCCCTCGCACTTGACATTTTTCACTTCACAGCCACCTTTTGCTTCAGTCAGGCCTGCCTTTCTATTCAAATCACTCCTCAATATATGTAACCTATTACTATGAATTTCATCTCACATTATTTAGATGCATAGATTAAAACCTTTAAGAGTCGCATTTACCTATGCCTACCACCACACACATTATGTACACGCAAATACACTAAAGGTAGAAATGAGGGGAAGTGAGGCAGCAGCGAGGAGTGTTGTTAAATAAATACACTGAAATGTGCCCGAATTTTCTGCTCTAAAACTGATCATTTTCTCCATTCCATTGCATTTGTTGTCTGCGAAAAAAAAGACAACTTTGCAAAAATTTTGCCAAAAAAAGGGAATAACTAAGAGTGAAAGTAGCAAATAGTACCTACTAGTACCATCAAAAGTTAAACTATGCCAAAGTCTCAACCAAAAGAATTGGAAAACTTAACGAATATTATCGCAATTAATATGCTCTCTGAATTTTGCTATGTGCTTCAATTTTTCATACCAAACCAAAAATATCTATCTTTGTTACTCATCTTTTCTAGTCACATATTTTCTATCAATTTTGTCTCATTGCATCTTCCATTTACAATTCACTCACTATAAAATGCAGAGAAACGAACCAAACAATGGACATCTCTAAAGCGTTGCAAAAGAGAAACATAATCACCTGCACAGGTAATCAAATTTTAAGAGGAAAAGACGAGGCAAAACTATTAAAGAAGAGAATCGAAACAAAAAAACTCCTTCAAGGTCATTAATGGCTAATATACTCTTCAAACTATTTTTCTTAGTACATTAATAATATGAAATAAAGGCTCACATCAGCAATCATATAAATATCTAAACATAGCAATGTTATGTGAGCATAACAAGGTAAGTCAAAACTTTTAACTGATTTTAGTCATATTTTTGAAAATTTCGCAGTTCTTTATAATCTACAAGGAAAACTTGTACAAAAATAAGCTTTTAAATAAAAGTGCAATAATAAAATACTTATTTTAGTCTAAAGTTGTCATAGGTATTTTGCAAAAATTAGATGATAAACTTGTATTCTGAGTATTCTGAGATATCAAAATCTGAAAAATTGCGTTAATGTTAATTTTTACTTTTACTTCAATAATTTTCTTCAGCATGGTCTAGTAATTATTACGGTCCAGCACGAACTTTATTTCTTCATAAAAATCCATACTATGTTATGCTGAGAATAATAAACTACAAAAAAAAAATGGAATCTTTTAAGATTTATAAGCAATACCTCAAAAGTTGTTACTTTAGAAACGATTTTAGCTGGAAAAATGTCTTCTTCACTTGTTGCAACTTTTCAGGGCAAGATTCTTCACCAATCCAACGAATAAGTCTGCTGATGATGCTACGAAATCGAGTTACAAGAACCATCGGAATCAGTAAAAATTTAAAAAACGAGATCAATGTAGCGTGTGTGTGTGCACAAAATGGCGAGCAGGCAGTAAAGAAGACGCATGGACAACTGCACCAATATTATTGTCTCATCAGTAGAGTTAAACGTCGGCAAAAAATAATTTTGAAAGATTGATTTTGCTAAGAAAAGAAATCACTGCCACGACGCATCATGAGTCTCCACTTCTAAACTCACAAATAATGATGATAATAACAACTTTGAAAATGATAAAGGAGAACGGCGCGAAAAGATGCAACGTGATTTACAATCACATGTCAATAATTTCTTTTTTAAACTCCAAAAAATTTTTTTTAATTTTTTTTCTAACATGTATTTATGAATAGGCTTTAAAGTTATTTATGAAGCAGAAAACTTAAGCTGTACTTGAACTGGAAGAGATTTATGCATTTATGCCTTATTTGACCACTCTAACTATGCTACATTTTTTGTGTACACATATATTTTGTGCGTGTATGTGTCTTGACAGCTAGAAAAACAGACCAGTAACAAGTGTAAGAATTAACAGCATATGAAAACGAATGTGGAATAATCTTAGTACGTCAATGAAAATAATGTCGTGAAATGTACTGGATAATGAAAATGTGAGGAAATTTATAAAAAAAAACAAAGTGGCAAAATATGCAAAATAAATAAACAGTAGTAAAAATATCGCGGTAAGCGTAAACTACTCCATGACAAATGCCTACTTTTCAAGTCATTTCAACCATTTTTTTTACAAGCTTCTTTCTTTACTTTCTATGACGAAGAGCTATCAAAGATCCATTTGCACACAAGAATGGCTCGAAAATTTTTTTCTCAATGTCAATTTGGGCCAAATCAATGATTACAATTGGCCTAAATATTTAGGATAGGAAGTCAGCAGAGAGCGGAAAAAAATATGAAAAATTAAGCCACTGAAACATCTTGTGGATAGCACAAGAAAGGTTGCTAGGGATGCTATCGGCATGTTTGACTGAGATGGTAAGAAGAAGCAAAGTAGCGAGCTTTAGTCCTTCACGGCACAAAAAGAAAGGTTTTGGCTTCTGGCCTGAGACTTATCAATATCAAACATGGAAAAATGAAAAGAATAAGACGTTGCAACGTTGCACACACGTTAGAAATTGGCTACGAAAAACTTCAATGAGTGACAAAGGTAATAAAGTTAAGTTTAGTTATACAGCAAATATTCTGAACTAATTATCTCTTCAAATGACCACTTTTTTTTGTCTTTCAGAACAAATCTCTTGAGATGAGACGAAAAAACGTTGAAAATGATGAGAAAATGAAAAGAATACTACTTTTCGTTCAAGTTCTCAGACCTTTCTTCCCACTTTTTGATGATTACTTGTGACAAACGATGTCTGCTTCATTTATTTACATCTTGGCTTCCCATTTCGAGTAATCATGAGATTGCTAATAATAATGCGCAAAATGAATGTTTGCAAACATGAATGGCAAGAAACATGCGTACTTATTCGAATTATTTGCTGTCAATTAGACCAAAACAGCAATAATTATTGTTCAAAAAAAGTGTGTTTCACGTAATTTATGATACAGCAGTTTACTGATTCACTGATAATCAACGCACTACAAAAGATTACTTTAAAATTAACCTTTATTACCCTTAACCCTAACTCTTAACTACTTAACTAATCCTTTATTAACCCGCAACCCTCAGATACTTCACTAATCGCACTCTTTATTTTCTTATTCATTGCTTAAAATAGTTCCAAGAAGTTACTGGTTGTATTTTTGGGAATAAAAGTAGCACAGTAATATAACGTAACATTTCATGATTTACAACGATATTTGCATACAGACCACAAAATGCCATTATTCACTAGTGAAAAAAAACGAGTTCTTGCTCAGATAAATAACAACACATGACAGAGAAATCAATGCCATCAATTTGTTGCATGTGGTTAATTTGAGCAGAGTATTGTTTGCCATAAATACGATTTAGAAAGCAAAAACACACCATTTTCATTTTGGATAAGAGAATTAGGGAATTAATGCATCAGTTCTAAGCTGATAATAGCAATGAGAACAAGGATTTCTAGTCTTGCTTTTACTGCTTCATTAATAGTAAAGCAGTCTTTAGAAAGAATTTAACTCCACTTTATCACTGCGAGTATGATGGCTGAGAAAACTCTGTTATATGTAGCATGCAGCCCACTGCAAGCAAATGATTAACATTTGCTTTGAATTAACTCTCTTCCTACATCATTTCTCAATCGTGATTAAATAGGAAAAATGAAATTTTTTCATACCATTTTACTGCTGGGCTACAAAATGCTACATAATATCAATACTCTGAATGAAAGTGATAACTGCATACCATTGCATGGAAAAGTGAAAAAAGTATTTAACTTATTTAAAATGTGTTATGTACGTATACAATATGTACGATGATATCAGTAATTTTTTTTAAACATGTGTAGTCATTAAATAATGAAATGATAGCACTGTGATAAAATGTTAATTAATAATATTATTTGGCTTTCACTGAAATACGAGAGAGAAACCAAAGAAAAAAAGAAGAAAACGCAGTGCAAATTAACATCGATGCAATAGAAATGAGGCATATTCAGTCTAGCTTACCGTCTAATACAGAAATATTTATGACTGTGTCGGACTGCAAATAATGATGGAAATATTTATTTTATCATGTGCGTACAAAACAGCACCTTCTGATGAAGTTAGATAGAAGAGTAAAAAGTAGCCGAGGAGTTGTTAGATTACGGTATGTAAGGCATGAAAAGATTATAAATCCCGAAGATTATAAAGTTCATACATTGAATATGCAAGTATACTGCAAACTGTATGGCTGTGAACATTCACTGTTCTAAATACAGTCAGCTGCCAACATTTTGTGGTGATTATAGCGATGTTTTGAACAAGTAATGAATCAGTTGTGCTACTTTTGAATATATTTACGAGCAGTTTCTCACATGTTTGAAAAAGATTATTAATAGACATAGACCTTTTTGTCTCATTTCTTGGCTTATTTTCGTCCGAATAAAAAATTAAGAAATATGAGATTGGTTTTGCCTTTAGAGAACGACGCAAGAATGCTCACAGACTGAAAAATAAATAACTTAAACTGTTTCCACTGTTATTCTAACAACTCTTTGCGAGAAAGGTAAAGAATACTTACTGAACAGCAGCTATGTGAAGAATGAATATTCATCAAATAAAGGGAAAATTTTTTTTAATAAAAGATAAATAAGAGAGACAAGGAAAGAGGAAAGAGTCACGACGAATTATTCAAACAGAAACAACGAAATACTGCTGAAACCAATCACAAGCGAAAAATTAGAAACTGGCGGATGTTGCCGTTTAAATTTCATCCTCGAACATCAGGCCAAGTAATGTCACGATACGCCAGCCCTCCATGACCATCATGGATAACTCGACAACAATTAATGGCAAAGCAATGAAACAGGAATGAATTGTTGTTGCTGCTGCTGGTGCTATAATCACAATGAATCGATGGAAAGAAAATCGAAGCACTGGTTGTGATGGTCTCTGGCTGGTCTCGATAAGTGAACAGTCACCATTCTTTCGTGTGTGTGCTTCCGTCGCCGCAACAAAGGATCAACTTCAATTCTCAACGATAAAATACACAGACGGACAGTTGGATAGGTTAGTAGTTAGAAAGAAAAGCGGGTAAATAATAAGAGATGGCTAGATAGATAGATAGTTAAATGAATGCCTCATCAACCCTTATTTCATTTAACCTTTACATAGGCGCCTTTTTCTCTTTTTATTCTTTTCGTCTGCAGTACTTTGAACCTCACAGTGATGATGATAGTAATACTAGCACGATTGTAGTGACCTTTAGTGACCATAAAGAGTACATCGTCATTAGTAACATCGTTTTCCCACTTCCGCTCTATTCTTCATTTGAAAATCACTACAAACATTCAACTTTTTTCTGGCAGCCACACAATGCAGAGTGAGAGCACACAACGACGATTTTCTTGCTCGTATCATCATTACTCTTACAACGGTTAGCAGCCACTTTGCTTATGATGACAATTACTGTTGGATGAAGTGAAGTAAAAGGACATCATATATTATGCTTCTAGTCTCTTCATCATTCAACTAGATAAAGTAAGATTGACGGGTGAATTAGAAACATAGAAGACAAAGTGGATCGTGGACTTACTGCGATGTTATTTATAAATTCTTAACAAAATGTTGTTCGTTAAGAATTGAAATTGTTTTTCGCAGGCGGCAAATTTATAATACACGATTGCAACATATTCAAAGTATGACAAGTAAGTTCAATTTCTCACGACAAAAGCAATAATTACGACGGCAGTAACTGAAATCAATGTCAGTGCATAGATAGATGGGTGGACAGATGAATGCATGCCATTTGTCCCGTCCACTCACTCGTTTTCTTGCAATAGGCATGAAATATATCGAGTGTACAGGCGACTACTACAATCTCATTGGATTGCAACGATTATTTCTTGATAGTCACAGCAATACCTGACGATACTGCAACGATAAGCGAATGCACTGCTGATACAGTATGATTACGTTTAGTTGTCATGCACAGTGCGCCTAAGTACTTTACTTGACTCCTTTTTTTTTCTTCCATAACTTACTACAGAAAAAAAACTTATCTTACGATACTTCCAATTATTAGTTTTATAACAACAATTTAAATTACGCGTGATAACTCTACTTTTAGAGATGATATGTGAGAAACATTGCTGTAAATTTGATCTTTTCTTTGTTAAAATTGGATAAACGAGTTCTGAAACAAAATTTTTCTAAAGTTCTTAGCATTAAATGAAGTCATGAAATCTTAGTGGCGATGTAGTTTGCTTCATTTAATAGAGTATAAAAGTGTAATTTAATATCAATTCTATGTCTTCCATCTACTTACTAGCTTTAGATTGTTTTTTCACCTCAATCAGTCTAGTTATGTTTGTAAGAGACTAATATCATCGATGACTACTTCTAATAGATGTAGAAAACTTGCTCTTGTCGACAACATACAGCATCTAAAGATGTCTTAAATCAAAGCAGAAATAGAGTAGAGGACAAGGAATACAAGATGACTGCAATTTATTCAGTCATTCAGTCAATCATATATCGATGATGCATTTTGGACGACTGCTTTGGTAGCTGTTGGCTGATGGTGTCCATATGAGAGACTTCATTTAACATGGCATATCTCACACAAAGAAAGCATGAACGAGTTGCAATTGCAGCCAATACTCTCACTTCCAACAACATTGAATAATTTTAATTTCAATAAGCAAGTGGTCCAGCAGATGTTGGTTAATACATCTTAATGCATCTTTCTTTACCCATTTTAATCCTGCAACTTCTTATCTCACTGCAACAAAAATGAGTCTTCACTGAATGGCTAAGGCAGACGTTGATTTGCTATACTATTGTATTATATTTCAGGTCAGATTCGAGTAAATATGAGAAATGTTTGTGACCTCAGTTATATTTATTGAGAAATAATAAAAATAAAATTTATTGCTCGCTACAGCTTGTTTTTATCTCTATCGAAAGTTGAACAATGCAAGTGCAAACGTTAGAGTTGCTATATTTTATCAGATATGTCATGTCACTGTTTTTTTTCAGTTAAATTTGTCCCAACAAGTCGTGGAATTTAAATTTTCTAATTTCTCAGCCTGCCTAAATAAAGTTATGAAATTTTAGTATTCCATGCTAATTTCATTATTTCAAGATTTTGGAAGGAAGTCATTAAAGTAAGATAAAATGTACTTAGCGATTGAAATTTTTAAGTACATTCTGAATTGCTTAACAGTGACTTTTCCATATAGAGAACTTATGTATTTATAAGGAAAATATTTATAACAGATGTCTGCAAAGCATAATGCACTAATTGTACTAACCTTTTTCTCTTTTTCTTTACATGGAAAGCAAAATTAATATGATTTTCATGAAAATATACTTGTAATATGTATAAAAATTAATGTGAGAAATTTAAGAAAAATGTCATTTCGAAAGTGTTTGACAAACAGAATGCTATTCCGAACAAAAAATTTCGCCTTTTATCAATTTCAACTTAGTCATGATGGTTAAGAGAGATAATAGTGAAGGCAGATTTTAAACTAGTAATGAAGTTGTGTACACTTATCAGTTTCAGTCATTTAAAAAATGAGATAAATTTGGAAGGTAAAAAAGATAGAAGAATGGAGTTTTCAACTTGGACGACTACGAATAAAATTATGTGAGGAAAGGAGGACAATAGTTATTTCTGAGGAAAAATAGCAGCAGAAGTCTGAAAATCAACCAAGCTAAATGACTGCTATTCCATAAACTTCCACAAGCAAGTAAGAATTTTTCTAGGAAATTGCTGGAAAATTGCTATTTCAAATAATAAAAAGAGTGAAAAAAAGTTCGAGAGTATAAAGCTAAGAACAGGGGCAAATGCATCGAAGCATAAAAGGAAAAAAATGAAACTTCTATTCTCTCAAGTATTCAGTGAATTCAGTCATTTCAACGAATCCAACTCAATAAAAATGAATGTTTATAATAGTTGCTGACAAGTAATCAGTTATTAGCTACCGCAACAATGAGAATTTTACATGACACCATTTACTTTAGCTAAAAATTACTTCATATGAAGTGTATTACGAAAAAATGATTTTATCATCGAAGGAAAGTCGACGTCTAGTAAAATGCTTCTTTCAAAAAATACAGTATAAATATTTGAGACAAATTGAAAGCAATTTTCGATACTTGAAAGAATCTGATGCTTTTCTGGACCATTTATAATTTTTATATTAAAATTTTTTGAATGAATGAATCTCAAATACAATAGAAAAAAAAAGCATAGATGGTCATATTTGAGATGGATAAGAAGGTACGCTATAAATATGTTTTCATTCACCTCAAATCAGTGAGAGCGTTTCATTCACCTCAAATCAGTGAGAGCGTGCCCATTCATTTCAACAGATTGCTAGCTTTGCGAGCAAAAGTACTCGAAAATAACTACGAGGAGCAAACTGCCAAATAAGATCAATGACATAAATTCCATTAAATGAATTCACAGTGCACTTGCAATGAAGAGCGAATACTGTCGGAGGCTGAAAATACTCTGTAATAATCAAGAAGTGGATATACTAAACTTTTCTGTTATTCAGCTTAAAAAATTTTTACAGAAATCAATCTTTTCCATAGGAGGTAAAGGTAAGAATCGGAGTCTATGACTTGATTAGTTCGTTAGTTTTCATTCCGATAATTTACTATTACTACTTGTAAACTTCAGTGACGAAAATATATTCTCAATTAGGCTCCGCCAAAAATTTTTTTGGGAAAATTTTACAAGTACCGAAATCTTCCTGTCCTGAGCATATTAAAACTTCTAAAAATATACTTTGGATTCTAAAGTGTTCAAGAATTACATTCCGATTTGGTATGCCACTGTCAGTTGAAAAAAATAAAACACCGCAGTATAAGAACCATATAAATGAAAAGGGTTATTTCACGAATGTCATTATACTAGGGAAGTAGGATGGCTGTCATTGTAAGAAAAAATTTTTTGCTAAAGAAAAGATACTTCACCAACGATTTGCAAGAAAAGAGGTTGAAGGTTATAAAGAGAAAATAGGAGACCCATCGGTCAGCTCTACTGAAGACCCATCGGTCAGCTCAGCTCTGCTGACCGATGTGTCTTCTATTTTCTCTCAATTTGACCCTTTCCAATCATCCAGTTTAGATATATTTTCGCCACTCGTTGAGATTGGTATTTTATCGAAAATGACATAGTGAGTGACCCCTACTCTTTCTCTCATTCTCAGAGACTACTTATTCGATGAAAAATGGTATTTTGTTAGGGTAAAATTACACATTTCTGATGGTCAAAAGAAGAAAGATCAATGAGTTTCTCCCTCCATCTTTTTTTTCAAGGGAGAGGCCAACTGCAGTGACTATTGCCCGTAGCAGTTGTTCTAATCGCTGCAATGAAATTATAACTGCTAATCGTTTCAATGCTTTTCTTATTTACAACTATCCTTTAGTTTTTTCTGTTTCAAAAAGAGATGTCTGGAAGTTTTTTTGTGAAAAAGAAAACGCCGAATGTCGAAAATCACTCAAGAAGTAAAAGAGGAGAATAGATGGAAGTTTAGAGATGCAAAATATTAAATCGTTCCTTCTTGTCTTATCAAATACATACAGAAGTGAAATAAATAAGGGGGAATGATGGCAACAATTTGCAATAAGGTCTTGTGATAGTCATTCGAATGTTTTCGCCTTCTTGATGAAATGGATAAAGAATGATTTGAAATCCACTAAAATTTCTTTCATCCTTTTGAATGTTTGTTGTAAATCATCGCTTTTTCTAATTCTATGTATTAAATAAACAGAAATTCTGATTTTTTTCAATGTTTGCTTTAAAATCTATCTGGAAGTTTGTAAAGGTAATATCATTATCATCGTTAAAATTATTGCTATTGTTAGTCATTATTTTTAATTCGCACAAATATTGATATTATTTTGTATTAATAATATTTCTTGCACGTTTTTAAACAAACTGTAAAAATATTTCTGCAAATTTTTCGTTTTTTGAACGCAAAACAACTCACTGTTTGTTTTACCAATTTTTTTTCATAATTTTTATTCTTCTAATCAAACAATGAAATCATATACTTATATCTCATAATCATTTCTCCTCAAGTGTACAAAGCTAAACTTTGAGGGCAAAATTTTTATTTAAAAAATTTCTTAATGGACATAAGTTTTATCCTATTCTGGCATTGACTAATCAAAAAGGTAATCATCTTTCATAATCGTAATCCATTAGACAAGCTTGTGAAAAAACGGTTTACTGAAACATCTATTATTTACAAATGACTATTATAAAAGATATTTTCTTAAATTATACTGAACAAGGAAGATATTTTTTTGAGGCATATGGGAAATGACATATCTCAACGTTTGTATTTGTGTATGTGTTAATTGTACAGCTAGGTGTTATTTTATGCGAAGTCACAAATTATTGTCTTATTTGCCGATTGTGGAGATGAATTAAGACTACTACGTTAATAGAATGACGTCAGTTTAGTGTGACATTTTGACGTTACGGTCTCACCAAAGTTTTGTTATGTGATAATCCAATATTATTCCATGAAGATTTGGCGCCGTTATTGTTGTCATTTTAAGTCGTTGCAAACAGTAATTTTGTTTCAATTCTAATTTTCTACTATCTGATTTCGATTCGATGTTAGTTTTGAAGGCAAACGACCATGTGTCATTGATATGATCAACAAAAATTCGATCAATATTGGTATTAATTTATAGCGCATGAAATCCATGGCTTTGATGTAGAATGAAATTGTCTTCGCAAATTTTTCTGCCATTCATAGAGCACTTATGAACACATACTTATTTCAAATTTGCATAACGTGGTATTTTTTAATATAATTTTGAACTATGAAGGAAAATGAAAAGAAGGTCATATCGGTGCTGTATTTAACTTGCTTTATTGAATATTTCGTGGATGAACTGAACATAGCCCAGTAGAGTCATAGTCACATTAGTTTCATCTTTATAATGTTCGTTTATATCGTTTTTTTCAGGTAAATACTGAACAAGAATATATATCCCGATATG